CCTTGGAAATTTTGTATGTATATACTATATAATTTTTTTAAGTTAAAAAATTGATTCTATCATAACTTCACGATAAGACCCTATTGCTGAAGATACTGCATACATGAGCTGTAGAACAAACAGGGGAAATCAAGCTGGTGCTGACTTTGGAGCCTCATCTCTACTGGCTAATGTCCACAGTGCTGGAAGGGGCTGTTCAAGCTATCTGAAGAGAAGATGTATGCCTTACCCAGCTGTGAATCCAGAGAGCTACAACTGGCCTGGCAAGTATGAACAGTGGCATGAATATTACGGGAGTAACCAACCACTTTCTAATTGGATGTTTCAAAGGATGGAGTCCATGTCTGACACTGATATCAGGCCTAGTAACCTGAGGTTAGAAAACTCACAGGACATAGTGGAAAGCCTAATACTATTATTATGCTAAACAGATATAGTATTAAACTGACTCTTAATGTTATATTCATAGATTAATACATCCCTTAACTCTCAGCAGAGAAGCTTCCTTATACAGCAGATGGTGATTAACACAGAGACCCACAACTGGCTAATGTGCAGAGAATATAGGCTACAGACTGCTTATCCCTGAATAGGACACCTATATCAAACCTTGGCCTCCCAAGACACAGGGATCATTGTGGAAGAGAGAGTGGAAAGACTGTGAGAGCCAGAGGAGATGGATGATCACAAACAGAGTTTTCCATACAGCTGGTCAGTTACACATAGGAACTCACAGCAATGGTGACAGCATGCACAAGACCCACATAAGCACAAGCCAGTCAAAATCCTACCTCAGACATGGGGAAGAAACCCCAACCATACCTAAGGAACTACTGGCAACCAATGGCTGCTGGGAGGGGAGAGTCAGTCTTGACTAAAGGCAACATTCTTGGTAGGTTGACCAGACTCAGGTGGATGAACCCACACTGAAGGGCATTTGGGAACACAAACCTGACTCTTTAGGCTTTAATATATATATTAGGGTACAGGAGAATGGGTGGAGAGTAGTAAGGGGTTGAGAAGATAGAGGCAGGGGTCTAAATATGATCAAAACATAGTATATGAAATTCACAAAAAAATCAAGTAAAAAAAGGGAAAAAATTTGTTTCTGCAGAGAATGCAATTTCATTAGGCTTTAGCATCTTTAAGTCATCTCACTCGAATTAACTGTGGATGAAAAAGAAACAACAACAACAAATAATCTAGAGACTCCTTAACTAAAGGCAGCCACGACGACCACCTAAATGCATTCTTTCTCTGCTTGCTGTGTCTGTTTATAAGCTGTCAAACCAGCACCTGCCAGCATACTCCTGTTCCCATTTCAGCCTCTCTGCTACCTTACACTGCTGTCCACACAAACCCAGATTTGAAGCACATCTCTAATCAGCATGTGCTGTGACTTAAGGGGGCATAGCTGGGAGAGTCTCACCTGTGCTCTGGATGGTGTACGCACAGCTCCCCCAGCACATGATGGGCACACGGGGGTCATCTTCATTGGGATGAACCTTCAGGCCCACCTTATAAGTAGCCGTTCCAAATGTTGTCAGCATTTCTTTTATGCTCTCGGAATAAGGGTTCCTGAAACAAACATAAACAGGGTTCAAAAGTATGTACTCAACACAGATCCAGCTGTGTGCCAAGGGGTCATGAGAGCTAACTGCCTGACTCAGGGGATTTAGGCTCTTTGGATGAGCAGAGAGGCACTGGACTAAAACCAAACCAGGGTATTGGTAGGTCCACAATGTAAGCTATGGAATTTCTGACTCGTCCCTGTGCTGAGAACAGCAGGAATGTACGTCCAGTGCCATGAAGGTCGGCGTTTTGGGTATAGAGCCTCAGTGGAAAGTTGTTCAATACACTGATATTTGGTAGTCCCCACGTCAAAGACTGTTGGTGGATGGCGACCTTACTATGAGGGTCACATGTCAGCAAGCTCCAACCTGCTCAGCAGGCATCCAGCAAACATTTGTGCTTGATAGCTACCCAAGGACCAGAAACCCTGAAGGAAAGCATCAAAGAGATGAACTAAAGCAGAGAAAAAGAAGGCAAGGCTGGGAATGGCTCATCAGAGTATGTGAGCAAGGCCCCCGGTTCAATTCTTAGCATGGGCAGGGGGCAGGGTGACTCAGGCAAAAACAGTTTTTGAGAAAATTAGAGGCCAAGTCCAAAAAGGCTGACAGCAAGCCAACTGTAGGACCACTTCACAGAACACAACGGAAGCTCCCCAGAGAGACCCAGAGAAACCACACAAACGCAGAACTGAAGACACAAGAGACTGGAAGAGTTTACAGAAAACTCTGCCAAATGAGTGAGAAAAGATACACACCAAAAAAGGATATCAGAAGGGTTTCAAACATTAGAGACAAGACAAGATCACAGCAGCCCCCAAATCAGTTAAGTGACAGGACAGGGATCTGAATGGCAGTCATTTCTCAAGAGCTGCTTCCAGTAAAACAGTGGCTTCAGAATACAGAGGAAGAACCTGGGCCACAGTGCACCCCATAATCCCGGCACTGGGGAAACTGAGGCTATATGAGGCCAGTGTGGATACACAGCAAGACCCTGCCTCAAAAACTCGAAAAAACCAAACCAAACATAAAACCTCCAACAAACAAAACCAACAAACCCAACCAACCAACTAAACAGCACATATTCAAATTATCAAAGGAGTACATAGACGTATTATATACGACACTGAACACCACAATTTAATATCCAGGTACCCTTTCTGAGGAATGTGAGGGGGGCATAGTGCAGAAGAGGGAGTGAATTAAGAGAGGAAGACACATGTTCAGAAAACAGGAGGCTGGGCATTGGTGACATTTAGTCCCAGCACTCAGGAACCAAATGCAGGCAAACCTCTGTGAGACTGAAGCCAGCCTGGTCTACAGAGTGAGTTCCAGGTGAGCTGGGGCTACAAAACAAACCAAAAGCAAGAGGAATACAGCCAAAGACAGTCACAAGGACAGCCGTGCCCTGGCCTGATTGGTGCAGGAAGACAGAGAGGCCTCCAGGACAGAAGAGCTTCTGACAGGTCTGAGCACTTGGAAAAACATGATGGACCTCACTGCTCAGGACACTAAGGGTAAGAGAAACACAAGGCAACTGCCAACTGTGGGAGACAGACCTAAGAGCAGACAGTGGTGACATGCGAATTATTAGCAAAAAAAAAAACCTGATGACCGATTTAATCCAAAACTGCAATGCAAATTGTTTTGACAAAAAAAGGAAAAAAAGATAAGTGAATTCAAAACATGAAAGTAGGGTTGGGTGTAGTTTGGTGGAGGCTTGCCTGGCATGCATGGGGCCCTGGGTTCAATACCCACCCAGCAAAGAGTTTAATAAAAAAAACAAATAAATAAAGGAGGGTAGGAAGAATTTGGATGTAAATAGTAGGAGAGACAAGCTTAGAGGACAGGACGGAGGGAGGCCCAGGAAGCAGAGGTCAATACTTTCTCCATGGACGCCTCCTAGGTCTGCTTTTACTGGGTTACTTAGTACACAACAGGCAAGTCCAGTCTTTACATGGAGTATGTCACTGCACCCTCTCATTTGCCTCTCATTCCAGATGAAGGAAATGAGATACATACAGGTTAAGGAATTTGCTCAAAGTCATACAGCTAATAAGCAGCAGTGGCAAGCAACTTCCCACTGAAACCCAAGTTGTACTTTGTAACTAATTGGCCAATGGGTAGGAGAGGGTGGAGCAGTCTGGTTCAGAATATGGGTTACTAAGAGTTTGGTGCATACCTAGGAGGAAGGTGGAAGTCAGAAGTCAGAAGGAAGCCCAGAACTTGGGAAGCTGAGGGACCTGAATGAAGACATCCCAATGAGACATCATGGAGTCAAGTACTGGGACACAGTAGCAGGTCATATGCTGGTCAGAGTGAAACCTACCACACAGCTCCTCTGTGTTTCTCAGTTACCACAATCAATATCAGCTAGTGCTTAAACCTCGGCATTCAAGATCCGACCCTGACATGCTTTGCCCTCTGGCCTGCCAAATCAGACCCCTGCCAATTGCTGACTTAACTCTTCATTTCAAATGGGCCAGATTTAAAAGAAATAACACCACACACTCACTTCGGATGAAAATCAGGCCTAAAGCCTTCAGGAGGCTGGAATTCATTCATATTTTCTGCATTCTTCGAAGATGCTGGATCTACAGAAACAGGCATTGTACATTATTGTTCAACACACCACAGTATTTTATATATTTGTCATTTTTTTTTAAACTTGAAAAAATTCTCATTAATACAAGCTAGCACACTACATGCAAAGCACAAGTGCTGCTCTGGTTCACCAGGCACTTTCCTCAGTGGCCCAGGCCTCTGTTAGCACAGGCACCAGAACACAGTCAAGAGGATGGTACTGTGCACGAGTGAAAATCAATGACCGAACCCTGCCCACATTGCTTTCATACAGGCCATGAGGGCAGTACGGGCCTAGCAAACTTGGGCCTTTGGTACTGCCAACAATAAGTTGATTCTGCCTGCTGAGAACCAATACTAACTTTTCAACAGTTTCATCTTCCCATCTGGGAGAAATAGAGCTTGAGTTCTCGAGAAAAGAGTAATGCCAGAAAGTTAATGCAGTTTACTAAAATAGAATCAAGTTACTGATTTTATTTTTTTGAAACTTTGTCTTGCCATGTAGCCCAGGTTGGTCTCTAAATAATGAGCCTCCTGCCTCAACCTCCCCAGTGCTGAGGTTAAAAGCATGTGCCACCATAACTAGCTTAAATGTCTTTAAAAGTGGGAGGTTTCATTTTTTAATACGTAGAAAAAGATTCACTTTATTCATGTGTATGTGTGTGTATTCGCATGCATGTGTGGTGCCCTCAGAGGCCAGAAGAGGGTGTTGGATCCCTAGGAGCTGGAGTTACAGACAGTTGTGAACTGCCTGACATGGGTGGTGGGAACTGAACTCAGGTTCTACCCAAGAGCAGCCAGTGCTCTTCACTGCTGAGCCATCTCTTAGCTCCTTATTTTTATTTATTCATTTTCTAAAAATATTTTATTATTTTTATTTTATCTGTATTATGAGTGTATTGTCTGAATGTATGTAAGTGTATCTGTGTTCATGCAATGCCCACAGAGGTCAGAATAGGGTTTTGGATCCCCTGGAACTGGAGTTCTGGGTGATAATTAGCTGCCATGTGGGTGTTAGGCACTGCAAGAGCTCTTAAATGGTGCTCTTAAATGCTGAGTCATCTCTCCATTCCCAGCTCCTTTTGCATTTCATTTTATTTTTCCATTTTGAGACAGGGTCTCCCTGTAGCCCCAGCTGACCTGGAACTCACTATGTAGACCAGGCTGGCCTTGAACTCACAGAGATTTGCCTGCCTCTGCCTTTAAAGGTGTGCACCACCATACCTGGCTCCAGTTCCTTATTTTTAAATACTTTAAAACAATTCTTTTCTGAACATACATTTTCCAATCAACTTAGATCTTGAAGGGAAACAAGTTATCAGGGCTGGTGAGATGCTCACTGGTTAAAGGCACTTACTGTTAAACCTGACAATCTCTGGAACCCGCATGGTGGGAGCAGAGAATCAGCTCCCGAAGCTGTCCTCTGACCTCCACGTGGTATACAGCCTACAAATATCCACCCACCACAAACTTCAAATCAAACCAAACCAGGTTAATGAAACTTACTGGGAGTACTTTCTTCTTTCCTAAGAGCCTGTAATGCTTTGATCTGCAGAGACACTGTTCTAATCCACTGGATCAGATTTGGTTGGTCTGAAAAATCTAATCTCCTAGAAAAGATTACAAAAATATTTAATTCTTTATTGTTGTTGCTTAATTTAAGATACAAAAGCTCTCTTAAATTATCATACACACATTTTAGACATACTTTAAATATTTGAGGGAAAAACAAAACAAGTAGGGAGAAAATTTATTACATTAAAAAAAAATCAGGGGCTAGCAAGATGGTTCAGTGGGTAACGGTGTTTACCACTAAGTCAGATGACCTGAGTTCAATTCCTGGGACCCACATGGTGGTAGGAGAGAGCTGTCTTCAGTAGGTTGTCAGACTTCCACATGCACATGTGTGCATACATACAAAAAACAAAAAAAAAGTAAAAAAAAAAAAAAAAAAAAAAAAATCAGAGTATGGGCTGAAGATATGGCTCAGTGGTAGAACACTTGCCTACATGTGTGAAATCATGGGTTCAATCCCAGCACTGAAGTTTTCAAAAGCTGGAATAGACATTACCCGATGGAAATGACACTACATTATGATGAATGATGTTAACAACATCGAGAAATTTTCATTTTTTTTTGGTAATGGAATTTGGGAGAATTTCCGAAATGTCCCAATCACTACTGCCAGTAACATTTACCAAGTGCTTATTAAGTGACAAGAGTCTCAGTAAAGCATTTCCAGTAAGATGCTTACAATGCTACATTTACTGTTCTATGTATTACTGTCCCAATTATCAAGATGAGAAAACTGAGGATAAAATAATTTAGTACTACTTACCTTTTTAAAAAACATATTTTATTATTTTTACGTGTATGAGTGTACTGCCTGCATGCATGCAAGTGCACCTGTGTCATGCAATGCCCACAGAGGTCAGAAGAGGGAGGGCATCAGATCCCCTAGAACTGGAGTTATAGATGGTTGTTAGCCACCATGTGGTTGCTGGGAACCGAACCAGGGTCTGGGAACCACTACTCAGTCACCAACGAGCCAAACTCCCTCTGCTTCATTATTCTGTGTCATGTTCCAGAAGACCATCTCTTTGCTACAGGTGTCACAGCAAACCTCACCTGCTAAGGACATTTCTTGGGGGAAGCAGGAGAGGAATGACGGTGTTGCTCAAGCACTCGCATAGTGGGCAGAGGAACTCCCCATGCTCTACGTCATAGCTGGTGTGTAAGCGCAACCTCTGTTGCCTTCGCTGTTCTTTAGCTTGAACGGAATCAAAATACCTTCACAATTAGAGAACATGAGGTATCAAAGTCAGTGTCATTTATGTCAATGAGAGGTGCAAGTGTCAACATTTCAAATCATTTTTCTCATGAACAATTAAAAAATAAACAATCTGCAATGAATTCAATGGCCGTAAACACTAACAGGATGATTTCTGAGTTGGTTTTGTTTTCAAAAGGAATTAAGAGTTCTAGCATAAAAACGTAAAAAATGACTGACTGGTAAATAAGCATTTGGATAGTGGGAACAGACAGTCCTTGGGGCACTGGTCTGGCCACTTCCTCAAGGCTGATAGCCACTTGTCTGGCCTGGTGGGTGTAGTGCTGGGTAACAGCATTGACTTGCTGGTTTTGAGACATGCACAAAGCACCAACACAGATCAAGTTTAGGGATTTCTACCTCAGCACAGGAGTCACTACTATCCTGGGAGCAACAAAGGAAGTACTAACATCTTTGGGATCAAGAGCTCTCCACCCTGGGCCCGAAGAAAGAACACTCCTCAGGCAGGCCCAACATCCTGTGTCCTTCCAGCTTGTTACCTACAGAAACCCAGTCCCTTCTTCGGAGGGTAAAGAAGGGACTCTGATACAAAGCCACTTTGAAAACATACTTGACAACATCTGAAGTTTCTAATTACTCCTTTACATTTATTACAAAGCAAATGATCTGTTATTTATTTGGCAAATACAGGGAGTTTTTTTCTTTTTTTTCCGGAGCTGAGGACCAAACCCAGGGCCTTGTGTTTGCTAGTCAAGCACTCTACCACTGAGCTAAATCCTCAACCCCAAGGGAGTTTTTTTTTTTTTTTTTTTTTTAACTCTTTAATTCTTTTCATTCCCTCTCCCAGAATGGAATTTTCCTTACTTTAAAATTCAATTTTTAGTCTTCTGATAAGCCGCTCTTGACTAATACATAAATTACCTTTGCCAACAATGCGCATGCATAACGTGCCCACAGCTACCAGTGTGTGTTCCACAGGACAGATCTGGATGCATGAATAACGGATCGTATTTTTCTGCATTACAAAACAAATAATCAAAAATCAAAACAAAGCAAAAGAACCAAGCATTTAATCTTCCTATAACATTTCCACCTTTGAATCTGTGAAACATTGGACAAGGACTTGCAAACTTGAAATAAAATTTGAACTTATCCTTCTGATTTTAGGTATCAATAATCTAGGCAAGACCCTGGATTATTTTGGAGGCAAGATTACTAATTTTCATCACCCTGAGGATATCACACAGCCTTGAATTGTAATTGTATCAAGTTACTGGTCCTCCTAACTGTGCGCTCTCCATCTGTGGATTTAATCAAATCAGATCCAAACATCCAGAGGAAACCCTGTATCTGTGCTGACATGCCCAGACTTGTGTCCCTGTCATTATTCTCTGTACAATACTTACAGCAGCAAGTTATACAACACTGAAAGTGTAACTAAGGGATGGAGTTGATAGGAAAATGTGCAAAGGTCACACACAAATACTATGCTATTTAAACAGTGACTTTGTTTCTTTCCCAGTGCTGGGGATGATGCAGACCCTCATTCCTAGTAGGCAAGTGCTCTACCAACTGAGCTCCATCCCCAGCACGATGCCATCTTATACAAGGGACTTGAGTGTGCATGGGTTTTTGTACCTATGGGGTACCAATCAGTATAGATAATACAGGATGGATGATGATACATGTCCAAAACTTTGGTCACTGAGAGATTCCAATTCTATCAAGCCCTCATGTCCCGAGCTCAAAGTAAAAAGGATAAAGGACGTGTTGAGGCAAAGCATCACATGATAGCCCAGGCTGGCTTTGAACTCAGACAGTCCTCCTGCCTCAGCTTCCTGAGTGCAGGGATTACAGATCTGAGTCAAGATACCTGGCTTGGAGGCTGCCTTCACTGTGTTCAGTGAAGCTGGGTTACAATTCTAATAAAAAAGATGTTTTAGCATTAATGGGAGCTCCCTAACAGAGTCTGTAAACAGACACCGATTTGGAGCATGACAGTCCCTACAAAAGAATCCAAGTGACAACACAATATCCAAGTCCATACCAGATCAGGTGGAATAAAAGGAATTCAGTCTTTCGTTTCAGTGATAATTTTTATACTCAAGGAGAGAAAAAAAGAAGGCAAACAAGATGTAAGTCCATCTTCTTTTGCAATTTTTTGAATTCTCTATGTAAACAGTATACTTTTGAAATTCTCTAAAGTACTCTAGAATTTCTTTTCTTTTTTTTTTTGGTCTTTTTGAGACAGAGTCTTCCTGTAGCCCCAACTGGCCTAGAACTCACTATGTAGACCAGGCTGGCCTGGAGCTCAGAGATCCACCTGCTCCTGCCTCCACCACACCCGGCTCACACACTAGAATTTATTATTTTTATAGTAGGACAGTAGAAATGTCACAGCATAAAGAAAATCTTTTATGATATAAATTGTGAAGGTATTTAGAAAATTCACTTACAGCTAGCTGAAGTTCCTTATTTCAAGAAGTAATAAATAAAATTTAGAAACTTTATTTTTGGCTTGGAATAAATTTGTAAAATACCTAGTTCAAACAACTTTTTGGGGGGCAGGGGAGCAGGGAAGGCCTCATTATGTAGTCCTGCCTGTCTGGTAACTCCCTCTGCAGACAAACTCAGAGATCCACCTGCCCGTGCATTGCAAATGCAGAGATTAAAGGTGTACACCACTATGCTGGCAAAACCATTTTTATTTTTTATCTATCAGTCCGTCTGTCTATTTATTTTTTGGTCTTTTTCAGACAGGGTCTCCCTGTAGCCCCAGCTGGCCTGGAGCTCACCATGTAGACCAGGCTGTCCTTGAACTCACAGAGATCTGCCTGCTGAGTGCTGTGACTACAGGTGTGTGCCACCACGCCTGGCTTGCAGAACCATTTTTAAAAGATGAAACAGATCCATCTTTCCTAACTAGGGAGCTTCAGGTCACACTGTGAAGGTTTCCTAGAGAAAGTGACCCCCACAAGTGGGCTCTTGAGGACTCTTTACATCCTACAATTCGAAAGGCACTGGGCTACAGAAGTGCTTTAGAAAATCCCAAGACACAGGCCCTACTCTCAAGTTTACTGGGTGCCACAGAAACAGGTATACAGAGAACATGCTGAAAAGCAGACACCAGTGAGCAGTCCGGGTCCCCTACAGGAATGAGGACCTCACCTCCTCAGCTGTCAGCCCTCTCTGAGGGAAAACTATCTCATTTAAGGTGGTATCTCTCTCTAGGGTGCCTGGACTGGTCACACATCAGTGTCAGGGAATAAGCTCAAGTTTCTTTACTGCAACTCAAGACAATTCTGAAGGCTGATTGTTGGGGACCCCTGTTGTGAAGTAGTAGTCTCTCCATGTCTGGACAGCCCATGGGCTCGGTTTCATATGCAGAAGACTCCTTTTCATCAGGGTACCTTCCCGGCATCTTCCTGACTCATCTTTTGAAGTAGCCGCCACAGAAACATGACCTCCGGCTCTGGAAATGCCAGGTTTTCCTGTGTGATTTTTCTGGCAGTCTAGCAGCCTGGCAGGAGCCCACTTCCATATGTAAATAGGGTATCCCACAAAGTACCTATCAGCTAAAGCTTTTACCACTACCCCCACGGTATAAAGTTTCCTGGTTTTCCCTCAATAATTGGAGCTGGATCACTAGGAGCTGGAGCTGGGACACTGAGACTTGGAGCCAAGCAGAGTCACTTAATAAAGAGCTGTAACACGGACTAAGCTGAATCCCGAGTCTTATTGCCTGCAATCCAGTCTCCCCGGAGTCTCCGTAAGCTGCCCTGCTCCTTCCCGTGTGATCCAGTGGCCGGTGGATTTCGCATCTTGAGGAAGTGCACGGGTGAAATTAGGGCGGAACCCGGCCAGGCAAGCCCCGGCAGTGGAGACCCACAGAGACGCGGGAAAGCGGCTGAGAAGGCGGAGCAGACGCCGTGAGACCCACCGCCTTCCAGGTGTGCGCAGGGGACTTGCCACGCTAGCGCGAGACCTTCAGCACCCCAGCGGCGGACAGCGACGCCGTGCGCTACCGGACCGCCACATCTCCAGGTGTGTCTCGGGGCTCTCGGTACTGTCCAGCCTCTCTGCCCAGTTCCGCCTCCATTCATTCCTCTCCATCGATGGTGATCCCAGGCTGTCCCTGATCAATGTCCTCAACAGTGATCTCTGTCTTGAGGGCCTGCTTTTTTGGGAGCCCTGTCTGTGGTGGTATCACTTTCCTAAGTCTGAATCTGACTCTAGGATTGATCCTCACATAGGAAACATGCAGCTCTGTTCTCAATCTGGCTCTATCCACCAGACATCAGCAAATTAGGACTTCATGACTATGTTCATAACTTGGTTCACCAGAATATGTCAACGTGACATCACAAAGAAATCCCTTTTGTGTGATTTAGGCATGATATTTAACCACCTGGAACAGTTCCATAAGCTATCAAGTAGGCAATTCTTATGTAAGTTGCTTGCTAAAGATATCACTAATCCTATAGAATTATAATCAGATTCATGAAACATCCATCATCACCCACTACAGTGACAGGCATACATCACTCACCAGGAGGAGCATGGAGCTAGGACTCACCTGGATCCTGGATGAACTTAGTTCTGTTTTTTGACAGTACAGTTGATCTTTGAACAAATGCTGCCAAGACCATTGCCCTACTCTCTACAGTCACTTCTTGCTCCTCTTGACACAATATGCAGGTAACAAACTGTCTCTGTTCTGGGACTTGAGTTTGTGCTGGGCCCAGTGCTTTAAGTGCCACATCTGAAACCATGGGGCTGCAATAAAAAGGTGCTGAATGTAACAAACGAGCCTCAGGAGTGAGTTTGTTCAGAATCATAAAATAACAGAGTACAGGCAGGCATATGCTGAACACAAGGTTTTGACAACAAGTCTCATGCATATTAAAACCATCTCCTTTAATCCTTACAGCAATCCACTTGTAACAGACCCAGCCTGGAGCAGTCATTCTTTCAGGAATGTCAGAAAATAATTCTTCCAGTGTACACAGGAATTACCTAGAGCCAGAGATTTCATATGTGTGTGTGTGTGTGTGTGTGTGTGTGTGTGTGTGTGAGAGAGAGAGAGAGAGAGAGAGAGAGAGAGAGAGAGAGAGAGAGGAGAGAGAAGTGGAGGTCAGCTTTGGGCAACAGGCCTGGGACTTGATGATTAGGGCAGGCAGGTTGGCTAGTTGGCCAAAGAGCCCCAGGGATCTGCCTGTTTTAATCTCTCCAGCATGTTTCTGAAGTAGATACTTTACTGACTAAGCCATCTTCCTGGTCCTAGAACTAGAGATTCCTAAAACCAATTCCACTAGCTGGAGGCCACAAGGTCTCTCGTTGAGAACCAATGGTTAAGAGATTAAAAAATGTAGCTGGGCATGGTGGTGCATGCCTTTAATCCCAGCATTTGGGAGGCAGAGGCAGGCAGATCTCATAGAGGCCAGCCTGGTCTACATTGTGACTCCAGGCCTCCTGGGGCTATAGAGAGACTCTGTCTCAAAAACAACAATAACAACAGAGATTAAAGATAGATCATCTCACCGGGCGTGGTGGCACATGCCTTTAATCCCAGCACTTGGGAGGCAGAGGCAGGCGGATCTCTGTGTGTTCAAGGCCAGCCTGGTCTACAGGGAGACCCTGTCTCAAAAAAGACCAAAAAAAAAGATCATCTCATACCTGCTGTCAAGAATGGCAGAGGCAGTGGCGTCCAGGTCTAGCGTCTGCTGGAAGAGCTCTTTGTTTTCATCAATGAAGTTCCGTTGCATCTCTGACATCTGAGCCATGATCTTTTCTCGGCGCAGTCTGGCAATCTCTGCCTTTCTCTTTCTCTCAGCTTTGTCTTTGTCTCTTGAGCTCTAAAATGATGCTTTGTTCAATTAGACTGTTACAGGCCACATGCACAATCTTTTCCTCAAAGCAAAAGCATTTGTATTATAAGCGTTAACTAAAAACTATTCTACCATTCTTTTTCTCTCTTTTCTTTTCTTGGTTTTTTGAGACAAGTTCTAGGTGGCCCCAGCTGGCCTGGAACTCGCTATGTAGACCAGGATGGCCTCAATCTCACAGTGATTTAACTGCCTCTGCCTCCTAAATGCTGGCATTAAAGGTGTATATCAACACGTCTGATCCTTTGTCATCTTACTTAAAAGAGTCCACCTAAAATATTAAGGGGGGGGTGGAGGTGCGGGTGAAGGAAACCAGGGGCTGGAGAGATGGCTCAGTGGTTAAGAGCGCTGGCTGCTCCTGCAGAGGACAGCACCTACATGGTGGCTAACAACCATCTGTAACTCCAGTTCCAAGGGATCTGATGCCTTTTCTGACATCCCGAGGGCACTGCACGACATGGGTGCACTTACACACATGCAGGAAATACACACACACACACACACACACACACAGAAGTAAACCAGAAAATTTCTCCAAGCTAATATAAATAATGGCATATGTTTCTGAATTTAAGTGGTTGTAAATGATATCAACTACCAACTTACTACCTCTTCCATTATGTTTCCTTCTGTCTCTACCACAGGACTTGTGGACGAACTCTCTCTGATCTTCTTTATTGCATTAAATGTCTAAAAAGAAAGATCTTGGTTATGCTGAAGTCACAAAGCATCGTCTCTATGTACAGGTAACAAATACTTAATGTTTCTCACAAGAAGCAAAGCAATGTGGAAATGTTACCTTTAATATCCACCTAATCATGTCTTTGTGGACTTCTAGGGAGGGAGCATTCTGCAGCGTCTCCAGCATCGCTAGGATGCTTGGAGAATTGTTTGGCGGTTCGCCAGGTTCTAAGGAGGAGAAATAAAGGCACATTAACAGTTAACACTTCACGGCACTTATTCCTACAAAAAGATAAATGAAATTGCTTATAATACCTGCTGCCTATCATCTGAGCAGAGCTCTTAGACTGGTGTGTGTTCATATGAGTGTGTAAATGTGCATGGGAAGCCAGAGGTCGATATGTCCAATACTGTTCTCCATCTTTTTATTTTTCATTTATATTTATTTTGGGTGGGGGGCAGGGTCTCACTATGTAGCCCTGGTTGGCCTGGGTCTCACTAAGTAGAACCAGGCTGGCCTCAAACTCAGAGATCTGCCTATCTCTGCCTCTGGAGTGCTGGTATTACAAGTGTGTGTCACAACACCTGGCTCCACCTTATTTTTTGGGACAGGACGTCCTACTGAGCCCAGAGCTGACTGGGCTAAACTAGCTGGCCAGCAAGCCCCTGGGATGTCTCTGCCTCTCAGTGGTAGGATTATGGGTGTGTGCTGCCATACACTTTACCAACTGAGCCATTTTCCTAGCTACCAGGTCATAGACTTGATTTATACTTCTTCAGAATATATCTGTATTTTACAAGTTGCCAACATATAGAATTCTTAATTGAAGGCTGCCTTCTTATTCCAAGTAACTAATTTAACATAACTTTGATGAAAATCAAATCAAAACCCACTTGGAAGAGCCAGTTCAAGTGAAAGTTTGTAAGACTAGAAATGAATTAGGACTATGAGGCACTGATACGCATAACTTCATTTATTTGCTTGAACCCTTTCTTTAATAAAAATGAGATTCAAGCTGGGAATGGTGGTGCATGCCTTTAATTCCAGCACTCAGGAGGCAGAAGCAGGCAGAATTCTAGTAGGTCAGCCTGATCTACATAATGAGTTCCAAGTCAGCTAATGCTAGAGGGAGACCCTGTCACAAAAACAAAAAAACAAAAATCCCCAAATTAAATAAATAAAAGGGAGATTCAAAATACAATTTCTTCCCCCTGTACATTTATTACTTATTTGAAGAAAAGATAAAAGTCAAGTTCATTTAATTTAATACTAGCGAAATTACTCTGTAGTCAAAAATGTCCAATTATTGATTTTCTTGATTTAAGTGTTGCCATTTTGGCAAAATGTTCCTTTTTCCTAGGAGGGAAAAGGATTGAATTATGTGATTTAAAAAAAAACAAACAAAAACTATTCTGCTGGGCTTGCTGGTGCACACCTTTAATCCCAGCACTGGGAAGGCAGAGGCAGGTGGATCTCTGTGAGTTCAAGGCCAGTCTGGTCTACATAGTGAGTTCCAGGACAGCTGGGGCTACAGGGAGACCCTGTCTTAAAAAGACCGCCCCCACCCCCAAAATTCTTTCAGATCTAAATTCTGTGGCTGTGCATTAGAGATTTGACTCTAGATGAGGAGAGGTTTCTTTGAAAAGAGTGTATCCAAGAGATCAAGTGGAAATAGCTGTTTAAAGAAGAAACAAGGTGAAAAGAGACAGATTGAGATCTTTTTCTTGCTTTTGGTGTGTGTCATGTTCATGTACATGTGTGCAGGTCAAGGCTGATGTTGGGTGTCTTCCACCGTTACTCTTTACCTTACATAAAAAGCAGGGTCTCTCGATGAATCCAGAGCTTAGCTCACCATGCTGGCCAGTCTGGCTGGCCAGCTAGCCCTAGTGATCCCATCCCTACCTCCCACACGCTGGGATTACAGGTGGCCACTATGCTTTTACATGAGTTCTGGGGATTCAAATTATGGTCCTCAAGCTTGTGCAGCAGGTGCTTTACCCACCGAGCCACGCCCCATCCCCACCTCCCAAAGCTGACACAATGATACGTGATGAATAGATTTGGGGCATTCTCTGCGTTATCCAGAAATGAAGGCACTGGAGATAAGAAGGCAGAAGATGGTGTGAAGTAAGGAAAAGCACCACAGAGGAAGAACTTGGAGGCTGTTGCTGTGAAGAGCAGCGCAGCAGCTTCCTTGCTGCTCTCCTGGACATGGACGGAAGCAAGCCCAGGGTGACGGACAGGACTGCTTCCCCTCCCCACCTGCCCTTGCAGAACAGAGGACTAGCACTTATCACTGAGGAAGAAATGGAACCAAGTAAAGTTAGAGAAACAATCCTTTTGATCCAGTGCCTCCTCCATTCCCACCACAGCACCATGAGCCCATGAACACCCCAAAATGGGTGATTACAAGTCTGGCTAGACAAGTACGAGTTGAGCCTGGTCATCTTTTGGGCCAGAGACAGACACAGAAACTTGAATGCACAAGGTGCCATGGACTGAAAGTGACATAATCCGACATCCTCCCTGAAAACAATATAAGTAATTGTAAAACACTGAACAAAAATCCACAAGATTAAAAACAACAAACCCTAAGTAAACAAAAGATTCAAAGTCGCCACACTTGAGGGTAACAGGATGTCTGCTTATTCTGGAAACAATTTAAAGGCTCTGTGCAGTGGCACATGCCTTTAATCCCAGCAGTCAGGAGGCAGAGACAGGTAGATCTGAGTCTGAGGCCAGCTACGTCTACATTGCGAATTCCAGGCTAGCCAGGGTTACACTGTGAGACCCTGTCTCAAAAACAAAACAAAAAAGGGAAATACAATGATGTCTATAACAAATGGTTCAAAAAGGTGACCAAACATACCAAAATACTAAGTAGTGAATCCTGGTGGTATGGATAGAACTCTTTCAGTTTCTATCACACACACACACACATGAATATGTAAATGTACATGTATGTTTGTAAAAAAAATTGTGTGTATATGTGATGCTGAGGGATGAACTCAGGATTGACTGAAAATTAAAAAAATAAAAAAAGCCAGAAACAAAACCAAAACCAAAAGTCCCTGGCCCTTTTAAAGTCACATCACTTTATATAGAGTCCAATCCTGATTCTGAACACAGTAGACTCTCATGTCTTCATAAGATAACAGGTAAAGAGGGAATCCTGATGACATATCCTAGAGACAGATCTAAGTGCCACACCAATTTCATACAGGGACCACATGGCAACTGAGCTCCTGCGACACCAATTTCACTTGAACTTAACCAAATGTCCAAGAAGTGATCACCTACAGCATTTCAAACTGAAGACTCTTCGTTATTTTTTGCTGTTTGTGAATTAAAATTTCTGTATCTTGGGGCTGGAGAGATGGTTCAGCAGTTAAGAGTACTGATTTCTCTTGCAGAAGACCCGAGTTTGACTCCCAGGACCACATGGTGACTAACAACTGTCCTTAACTCCAGGTCCAGGGGATCCAACGTCCTATTCTGACCCCTGCAGGTATTGTGCAACATGGGCACACTTACATACTTGCAGGTAATATACACTCAAAAACACATGAAAAAATAATAAATAAAAAAATTTCTGTATCTTAAGTATATATAGTCCCTAAGTATTTTCATATTAGGACCTAGTAACACATAACATTTCATATGCAATGTCATATATACATACATACACACACACATTTTTTTTTTTTTTTTGGAGACAGGGTCACATTATGTAGCCCTGGCTGGCTTGGAACTTGCTATGTAGACCAGGCTGGCCTCTAACTCAATAGATTTGCCTGCTTTGGCCTCCCAAGTGCTGGTGTCCCTATACCCAGCTTATTAATATGCAGTGTCTTTAATACAAAGTACCTAAGTATTTTTCTATCCAGATCTAATACAGTATCACTAATACACAGATGAATAAAAGAGCCTCAAATATTTAAATTCAGTATTACCCAGTCTGAATTTATTACACAAGACAGGCTATGAGAGATGATTTGAATTCATTAGCTCTTAGGCCAGGCATGGTGGTGCATACCTTTAAACCCAGGACTTGCGAGGCAGAGGCAGGTGGATCTCTGTGAGTTCAAGGTCAGCTTGGTTTATATAGCGAGTTCCAGGCCAGCTGGGGCTACAGGAAGACCAAAAAGAAAAAGGGAAAAAAAAAAAAAAAAAAAAAAAATCCACTAGCTCTTGCTAGCTCTGTGTCAAGCGAGTACATACTTGAGATCTTCTGAGTGAAGGTGAGTGTCACCACGTGCTCATCCACGGCGTTCTCTAAGTGCTGCTTTTCTTCTTGTAGTGCCATTCCAATCAAATGTAGCACCTCAAAAAAAAATTCTTAATGTTTAATAAAAAAACCAAAAATGAAAAAAAACCCCGCCAAACCAAGTACTTATAAGAAATTAAAAAAAAAATCACTATTGAAAAAAGAGAAATCAAAGACTAAACATAATTTTAAAAAAGAGAGAAATCAAAGACTAAACATAGCAAAACCAATTCTGAATTTGTTCATTACATTGAAAAGGTGAGGCTTATATTGTAACAGAGAACTCTTGGCAAGGAAACATTTTCCAGTTCAGTGAGGAAGAAATTTCAAATGCAAATTCCTAGAGTCATCTATAATTACTACAAAGTATGACCAAGCAAGTCACATAATATATATAATTCCCAGCATTGTTTCATACCTACACTATAGCCTTGAAAAACAACCTCTAGCAGCCAGTGGCCAAATGATGGAACTTAAGGCATCTAGAGTGTAATGATCCAGTCTGCTGTTCGATTCTTTCTGAGGACTGAATCTTATCATCTGAACTAGAGATCCACTTTCATCTTGAGGCACACAGTCCATTAAATGTTCCTAGTCTTCTGTGCATCTCACAAAAGCTCCGTATCAGATTCTTAAATGGAAGCACGCGGGGCCTGCTGGTCTGTTCACTGCACTGATCTTGCTTCCAAGTTTTGAGGGGATGGGTATGCACATAGACAGAGGGCGACTGGCTCTCTAGGACTTGGAAGAGCTAGGTGAGTCTGGGCGACACAGATCTGGTTAGAAGGCAAATGTGGTTCACTCTTGCTCCATCACTCCCACAATCCCTTTCTCATGTCACACTGACTCTCCAGGATACCACAGCTCTGCTTTTCCATCCTAGCCATGTTTATAAAGGGGCGGGAGTGTAAGTATACACACACCTTACCCAGTGAGATACTTAAGCCTGCTGAGATAATCCAGAGTGGTAGCTGCAGAGGGAAGCTTGCCTTCATCTGAGTCCTTGGCTTTATTGCTCTCAAGCTGCATTCTCCCAGGAAAGCCCTCAGAGATGATGCCATCATCTTTAACCTAGAAGTAAACTGCTTCCCTCTAGAGTTCTGAGGTTATAAGTACTGTGAGTTGAGTGCCTAGCATAGAGTAAGGCACAGAGTAGGCATTCTTTCAACTGAGGAACAAGGTCACTGGTTGAGGAACACAAGAAACTAGAGGAACCTCGCTGAGATTGGGCTTCCTTATCTAGACAACGGATAAGGCAGTGTCTACTCATGGAGCATTGTGCGAATTCACTGACATCATTTAAGAATGACAAAGCTGTGGAGTGAGACGGGAACAACGTTCTACACTTGCCATTGCTGAGTTGACAGGAACCTAAGCTTCTACCTCTCAATTTCTTTAACTGTAAAATATGGATATTGATCAACTTAAAGCTTTTTTTTTTTTTAAAAGGGAATTTAAGAAGGAACATGTGTAAAAGTTAATACATTCGGAGCTGGAGATGGTTAAGAGCACTGGCTGCTCTCATAGAATACCTGGGATTGGTTCCCAGCACGATGTGGCTAACCATCAGTAATTCCAGTTCCAGGGATCTGATGCCCAATTCTGGCCTCCATGGACACTACATGCATGCAGTGTACTTAAATACAAGCAGGCAAAACACTGAGACACATTAAAACAAAAACAAACAAAAACAAAAACCTACTATACCCTGTCAGTACTACACATGCAAAGACCAGGACCAGGACAGGCTGACTAATGGGCCCAGGTAAACATAACCATGTGGCATGAAAGTATCTGCCAGGCACACATTTTCATTGTTAGAGACAAAATAAGTGACAACATGCTATGTTACAAATTAAGATAATAAAGCATACTATGGCCCTACTTTTTCTGGGTATTGAGACCGACCAGAGATTTTTTAAGTACAAAACTAAAATATAAATAAACCTACCCTTTGCAGCATGGACTCTGACCAGGCATACCCATGGTGCTCTATGGCCCACTGCAGTATCGTTCCCATGATGTATAACATGACGTCAGACTGTAGAATGTTAACCAGACTTGCAAATAAAGGGCAGAACGGAGGCAAAACCGGAGGGGGAAGTGCTGGAAATAAAGTTGTTAGGAACATATTTAAAGAAATGATCCTGTTGCTGGGTACTTTTGATAGTCTTCCTTCAGAGACTTCATCAGCACATCCCTGAGCTGTGGTTTACATTCTCAGTCAGCCAGGACTGCCTTTCTTATCCTCAGAGATGTCTCAAAGCTGAGGTAAAGCCATTAACCTCAAAGTGACTTGGTAGACTCATTTTTTCTCACATGTGGTGTGTATGTGTGCATGTTCACATGTGCATGGGTACATGTGTGAGTGTGGAGGCCCAAGGTTGATGCTGATGTCTTTTCTCATTCTTTCTCTACCTTACACACTGAGGCAGGGTCTCTGCATCTTGGCTAAGTCTACCTAGCCTGCTTGTTCCCATGTGCTAAGATTACAAGTGTGCCAATGTGCCCACCTGGCTTCTTACATGGATTCTGGGGATCCAAACTCTAGTCCTCACACTTGTGTGATAAACCCTTAACCTACTGAGCCATGTCCCCAGCTGGTGCACAGCTTCTATGGACAGTTTCTTTCATTCTTGCCTGGAAATGTTAAAGTCACTGGTCTTTAGAGATCTGTGACGTGACTTGTAAAGCAGACAGGCTGGTAGAGATTGAAGAGGGGTAAGAAGCTGTCCTTTGGCCAAATTTCTTAACCCTGAAACCCTTATTAAAACCCAAGCATCATCCACTATATGCACGTAATAAGTGGGAAAGGGAAAATACCAGTAACGAAATTCTCAGGTATGTATTTTACACAATAGGTCAATTCAAGGCAATGTGAGGATGTTTGGGGCAGTAAGGAGAAGCATTTTTCAATGTGAAGACTATCTCAGTATTACCATACTTATTCCTTTGAGTAGCAGAATGTTCATCTGGAAAGCCTATACTTAAATCTTCTACCCCACTGTCATGGTTGGCTTTGGTTGTCAATTTGACACTGAAGAAGGGACCATCAATTGGGGAATTTCCTCTATTGGACTAGCCTGTAGTCATGTCTGTGAGGCATTTTCTTCACTGCTGAGTGATGTGGGAGGGCCCAGCCTACTGTGCCACCTCTGGGCAGGTAGTCCTGAGTTGTATAAGAAAGGAGGCTGAGCATAGGCCAGAGCAGCAAGCCAGTGAGCAGCATCCTGCATGGTCTGTGTTTCAGCTCCTGTTTCCAGGTTCCTGCCTGTTTAAGTTCCTGTCCTGGCTTCCTTTAGTGATGAACTGAGCCTTGAAAGTATAAGACAAAATAACCTTTTTCTCCCCCAAGTTGTTCTTGATCAGTGTTTTATCACAGCAATAGAAAAGCAAACTAGACTAGGGAGGCAGAGGCAGGTGGATCTCTGAGTTCAAGGCCAGCCTGGTCAACATAGTGAGTTCCAGGTGAGCTGGGGCTACAAGGAGACCCTGTCTCAAAAAGACTAAGAAAGAAAAGCAAAGCAAACTAGAACATATACCAAGGACAATCATTACAGCTAAGGGGAAGGAATGTTTCGTAAGAGAGACTGACACGAGACTTGGAAAGAAGACTCAGAATACCTGTATCTTCCCTATTTTGTCTTTTCAGTTTCCGTTGAGCTTCTTCTGCCTAAGAAAAATGAAAGCAACGTGAACAAGAACTGCAATCCAGAACACCTTGCTGACGAAAGTCAATCTCCGCCTTGTTATCATCTAGTTTTAGGAGACGGTTTTTCTCTCTCTTCCTTTCTTTTTTCTTAGATAGGGTCCCATGTAGCCCACGGTGGCCTTGAACTCCTGATCCTCCTGCCTGCTCTCCCCAAGTGCTGGGACTATAGGCTGGGTCACCATGTATGGTTTTGTTGCTGAAGATTTTTATCTCAGTGTTTACTCCTCCCTAACCATTGGTACAGCATGGTTAATTATGTCTTTCAGCTATAAGAATCCTCAGATGAGGTTGTTAAGATGCAGGGAGAATGCACAAATAGAAAGATTACTTAGGTTGGAACTTTAGGAAATCTATCAACACTAAAAGTTCTTTAAAAGAAGACTGCTAAAAGCAAGAGTTGAGAATGTCTAGGAAAACAGCATAAAGATCTATGGGAAAACATCAAATATTATCAATTCTGAAATTTGTGAAATGGGTTAATTGATTATGATACAAGTTGGGAATTTGTCTTCAAAAGCCAAGAAAAAAATGGGCTATGGATATACCGCAGTGGTAGAATGCTTGTCTAGCATGCCCAAGGTCCTGGGTTTGATTTCCACAATAAATAAATACAAGTGTATATAAATATGCATATGGGGGCTGGAGAGATGGCTCAGAGGTTAAGAACACTGGTTGTTCTTGTGGAAGACCTGGGTTCGAATCCCAGCACCTGCATGGCAGCTAACAACTGTCAGTAACTCCAGTCCCAGGAGATCTGACAGCTTCTTCTGACCTCCATGGGCACTGCATGACACAGGTGCACTTACCTATATGCAGGCAATACACGCATACACATAAAATAAAAAAATAATAAAATAAAAAAAATTGCGTATGATCTTATATATCTAGCCACAAAACATGATGATGGGAGATCTACAATGTTAGATAGCATTGTTCCAAGTTATTTATCCTTTTTCAATCTGTGAAAAGCAGTTTAAGGTTTCCAGGGAAGATAAATCCAGCTCTTTCCCACTATACTTAATCTTCCCATTTACCTTGGACTGCTCTGCCCTTGAAAAGTGATAGAAATACAAATTGAAGTCTTTGGTGCATTCTGGTTTCAGCTCATACATGCCTCGTCCTGTTAGGCCAGGTTTCCTAGGAAAAAATAGTATATTATTATAAAGTCATACACACTGGCTTATGTTAACTGTCTTAGATGTTAGAATCAGAAAAAGAATGGGGCCCGGAGAGATTGTTCAGCAGGTAAGAGCGCTATCTGATCTCACAAAGGACTCAAGTTCGGACTCAAGTTCGATTCCCAGCATGTATATCAGGCAGCTCACAATTGCCTCTAACTCCAGCTTCAGGGTTGCCCTCTTCTGGCCTCCAGAGACACCTGCACTTTCATGTAAGTGTGCATGCATGCACACTCACAATTAAAAATAAAATCTTAAAAAAAAAAAAAAAGAGGAACACTTGTATTTAATGCTGGGGATTTTAAGCTAAAACTATTTTCTGTGAGTTACTGTGATACTACAAATTTAATGCTTTTGTGGCGTCTGTCTTACCTAGCACCTGTGCTTTGAATTGACCCTAACTAGACAAGTAAATATAATGGATGTGTAGCTGCAACAAAAGTATAACATGAGCAGTTACACAGATCATCTCCAGGCACTGAAAGACACTACAAGTGATGTTAACTTCTGTATTTTACCATATAGTATATTTTGAAAGAAAAAAAAAAATCAGCTATGATATTGGGGTTTATGTAACAAATTCCAGGTCAAATAATACAGAAAAGTATTTTAAAATAGTTATGTAAGATGACAACATATAGTTAAAAACCAAGCAATAATGTATTTGTCATGAATTTACTATAGTAGGGGTAAATTATCTCTAATATATAAAAAAACTGCCTGGAATGATAAGATGGAGACAAACAACTGTGAAAAACCACACGAAGGTATGACTATCTCTAAATAAGCAATAAACACAAGAAAACATCTCGACTTCGTTGCTAATGTAAATGAAAACAAGGAACGTCTTCCACCCATCCACTATGTGGGAGTAGCTCACGGGAAGAGCACACACTACAGCCCGAGTTCAATCCCCAGCAACAAGTCTCCCGCACCAAAAACAGTGACTAAATGCATTCACTAAAGTATAAGTGAAGTTTCAGGGATTCTCACACACAGCTAGTGGGGTGTAAACTCATGCATATTGTGAAGACAGTTTGGAGCTATGCATCAAAATGTAAAATGTGCCTTCCTTTTGATCTTAGCACTCCTTCAAAGAAACATTCTCGTAGTCAAGATAAAATGCCAATGATGCCCCAAACCTGTGGCTTGTAATGGGGAGAATCTAGATGCTGAATCTATTAGCAGAGTGAAGGTTAAATTCATTACAGCATGAGCGTAAGAAAGAAGTAGACCCACATGTGCCACATGACCAGCATAAAACTCAATCAACTAAACCCTGAGATACAAACATGGAGATACCCCATGACGGTTAGATTTAAAAGAGGGTATGGCGTGCCAGGGATGCAGCACAACAGCAGAGTGCTTGCTTCACAGCACGAAGCCCTGAATTAGAGAGTAAAACAAACACGTTTTGGTTACAAGTATCTCTCTTCCTAGTCACTCACAAACATATACAGGTAAAAAATCTACAAATATAGAAAAAATGCAGAACAAGTTATATTTGCCTGAACCAGGACTCAGCTGAGTGGCTGGATCATGGCGACACTGTCACTCCTCCCTCCTTCCTGTATTTTCTCTAAAGCATGTACCTTTTTCATTTACTTTGCATATACTATCGTCATAATCAAGAAAGAAAGACATTGTAGTTGGGGTGGGGAGAAAAATAATAGGATTAAGGAACTGCCTCAAGCCGGGCCTGGTGGTGCACGCCTTTAATCCCAGGAGAGGCGGGAGGATCTCTGCTTGGTAAAAGTGCTTGCTGCCAAGTCTGATGATGATTTCAATCTTGGATCCCCACCAAGAAAGGAGGGAACCAACTTCCTCAAGTTGTCCCTTGACCTCCATATGTGCACACTGCACTGTATGTACATACATGCATGTGCATACACATAATAAAACTTCACAGAATGTGAGATATGAAATAAACTCACTTGAAATGGGCAACTGCTTCAATTACACTCTCCATGCCAGTCTCCTTGTTCTCCTAAAGGTGCAGGAAACAAGGTGTTCCTCGTCAGTGATGTAACCACTAGCACACTCAGCAGTGAGCTTTACCCCAAAGACCTCACCACACCCTCCAGACAGATATTTTATCCCCAGTTTTAAATATTGAGGACTACACAGTAAATACAATGACTAGTGTGGAGAGATCGGACAGGGAGTGGGTTGCTAAAAGGGAGCCTGCAGCACACCAGCCTGGGCCAGGAAGATCCCTAACAATACTGTTAAAGAAAACAGCGATTCTTTCCCAGCTAAACCACAAGTGTCAACCAAAAGTCTGGAATGGTGTGAATGAGCAAGGCCAATCAAACTAATCAAGACCTGGAACCACAAAGCTGTGGGCTATGTAAAGTCAGCTCTCCCCATCCCACCTGCCCCAAACCAAACATCCACCACTCAGGACTGTCCTCATTCGTATGGCAGGCACAGCATGGTGGGAACCCAAACCAAAAAGGGAGGATAGCTTTTAAATAAATGTCCCCACCCTGTCTACACTCTCTCACAGGGATTCTTCTGTTGCTGCCGTTGCCTGCAGCTCCCTCAATCACCTTGCTCTTTTCTACTCTGGCCTCACTTGCCTGCCAATCTCCCATAATTAGTATTCAACAAGGCAAAAAAAATTTTTTTTGAGTCATAGTGTCACTACACAGCCTTGGCTGGTCTGGAACTTACTATGTAGACAGGCTGGCCTTGAACTCACAGAGGTCCATCTGCCTCTGCCTCCTGAGTGGTGGGATCAAAGGTGTGCACCACCAAAACTGACAAAATAAATTACTTAAAAAAATCTATTTTCAGTAAAATACAACTTCCAAGATGTTAACAGAAATTCTGTTAATTATTTGGACAGATATATTTATTATACAATAAATATAATACTTCAAAGTGCTTTGGGGGCTGGAGAAATGGCTCAGCAGTTAAGAGCACTGGTTGCTCTTGCAGGGGACCCGGGTTCAGTCCCCAGCACCCACATGGCATTTCACAACTGATTTTAACTGGATTAATCTAGTTCCAGGGGATCTGACACCTTCTAGCCTTTACAGGCACTGTATTTAATGGGCATGGTGCACTTAAATACATGTAGGCAAAATACTAGCACACATAAAAAATTTTAAAGTGTTTGAGGCTGGGTGTGGTAGCTTACGCCTGAAATCCCACTATTCAGAAAGCTAAAGCAAGAGGATTATTGCAAACTCAAGGCCACCCTGGGCCACACAGTCAATTTCAGGCTACAGAATTAGAACCTATCTCAAAAAGACAAAAGGAAAATAAATCCCCAGAGAAATAAAAGTGTCTTCAATGTGTGTGTGTGTGTGTGTGTACACTACAGGTCTGTGTGCATGCATGTGAAGGCCAGAGGTCAATCTTGGGTGCCTTTCCTTAGATACTATGCACCTTGTTTTTTGAGATAGGGTCTCACCCTGGCTTGAAACTTGTCCATTAGGCTAGACTGGTTGTCTAGTGAGCCCCATGGATTCACCTATTTTGGCCTCCATGTGTCCCGCCCAACTTTTTTAGGTTGAGTTCAGGGATCAAATGTGGGTTCATGTAAGTCTATCACCAACTGTGGCATTTCCCTAAGCCAATGTTTTAAAAATTTATTCTTTCGAGCCGGGTGTGGTGATGCATGCCTTTAATCCCAGCACTTGGGAAGCAGAAGAAGGTGGACCTCTGTGAGTGTGAGGCCAGCCTGGTCTACACAGTGAGTTCTAGGCCAGCGGGGATTGCAGGGAGACCCTGTCTCCAAAAAGAAAACAAAAAACCAACACCAAAACCAAAAAAATTATTCTTCCATAAAGTTCAGGTGAAATTATAATTAATTCCTATACAATAACTTGGGCTTCATTTCCTACAGTTAAAAACTACAAGTAATTTTATTCTGCCTAGTATTCTTTTTTTTAAAATTAAAATATTTTATTTTTATTTTATGTGTATAACTGTGAATGCCTGCATGTAGGTAAGTGAACTCATGTTGTGTAATGCCCGAGGAGAACAGGAGAGGTTGTTAGATCCCCTGGAACTGGAGTTACGGACAGTTGTTAGCTGCCATGTGGGTGTTGGGATTTGAATCCGGGTCTCTGCAAGAACAGTCAGTGTTCTTAACTGCTGAGCCATCTCTCCAGCCCTAGTATTCTTTTTAAGTTTTTTGGGGGGGTCTTTTTGAGACAGGGTCTCCCTGTAGCCCTAGCTGTCCTGGAACTCACTATGTGGACCAAGCTGGTCTTGAACTCACAGAGATCAGCCTGCCTCTGCCTCCCAAGTGCTGGGATTAAAGGCGTGCACCACCATGCCTGGCTCTTTTTTTAAGTTTTTAAAAAATTATTTTTATTTTATGTGTACGAGTGTATTGCCTGCATGTATGTAAGTGCACCTGTGTGGTGCACTACCCATGGAGGTCAGAAGAGGGTGTTGGATCCTCTGGAACTAAAGTTAATGGATGGTTGTTAGCTGGCATGTGGGTGCTAGGAATCAAATCCAGGTCCTCTGCAAGAGCAGCCAGTGCTCTTAATTGCTAAGTCATCTCTCCAGCCCTGACTAGTACTTTTTAAAAAAATCTTTTTAAGACAGGGTTTCCCTGTAGCCCCAGCTGGCCTGGAACTCACTATGTAGACCAGGCTGGCCTTGAACTCACAGAGCTCCACCTGCCTCTACCTCTCAAGTGCTGGGATAAAAGGCATTTGCTACCATGCCCAACTTAGTATTGGTATCAAGGACTCATTTACTATCATTATCTTTTAAAAATGTAATGGGGGGACAGGTTTGGAGAAATGGCTCAGCTGTTAAAGAGTGCACACTGCTCTTCTAGGGGATCCAAGTTTGGTTCCCTACATTCACATCAGACGATTCACAACACCTTCTATCTTCAGCTGCAGAGGATCCAATGCCCTCTTCTGATACCCTCAGGCATGCATACACAAATGTATGCAGATATGCACAGAAACATATAATAATAAAATAAAAAGGTAAAAAAATGTGGCAATGGTATATGGATAGGCTTCTTTAAAAGCACCAACCTCTTCTAGGTCAGTTTCCCATCCTTGTCATTAATGACATTTAGATGAAATAATTCTTTGGTATGGGGCTGTCCTGGGCACTTTAACATGGTCAGCAGTGGTCCTGTCTGATCCACTAGTAACAACCCATAATCTAAAATGACCTTCTTTATGTCCACTAGGGGCAAAAGTGCCCCAACTTGAGAACCATTTAAAGTCCATATAGCTCTACTTCTGGATGAAATGGTATAGCTAGCACTCTCTACAAAACACCCCCGTGGGGAACAGTGGGTGAGACACAGAGAAATAAGACTGGCCAAAGGTCAAAGTTGGCACAGGTCTGTTATACTATGCTTTCTATTTCTGAAGATGTTTTGAAATTTTCTAACACAGTTTAAGTATTACTATGGAACAAATATAGGCTGAATGAACTTTTAAGTTTCAAAGTTATAATCTGTTTTGACTCTAGCAAAATATCTTGAAAAGCCTCAATGAAAATAAAGTCCTTTCTCAACTGCAGGGGTTGGATTTCTGAAAAGTCCCAGGACTGGAAATGAGATGGTTGAGAGACTTACAGCCCTGACAGGAGAGACAACCGCGATTCAGTCTGTGAGTACCCTTGTGACGACGGCATATTCGCAAAAATGAGATGATAGCTCATCACTGAGAAAGAGACTATGGGTGCCTGAGAAAAACAAAGCCCCGGTGAACTGCAGTCTCTCACCTCTAGTGGTGGGTGTTTCTCACTCCCTTCCTTATTAGGTGTGAAATATTCTGTGTATTGATGCAAGCTTAGAAAAGATCCTAAGATGCTTTCTCTATCAGACACAAAACTTCAGCTCTAAGGCCCAGGTTTCCCTTTTCCTCAGGTCCTTATCTCTTTCAAGTCTTCACTGTATTGTTCTATTCCCAGTCTTTCCATACCTGGGTCCCAGTATTTTCTTTCTTAGTTACTCCTGGTAACAGTGACTGGGTCACACACATCTTAGAACTCCAGGCTCTACAAATGCAGCAGGTACACAGAGGCCAAGCTGCACAGGCCAACAGGCGGGGAATGCCTAGTTGATTTTCCTTTTAAAAATGTAGGTAAGCTGGGTGTGGTGGCACATGCCTTTAATCCCAGCACTTGGGAGGCAGAGGCAGGTGAATCTCTGTGAGATAGAGGCCGGCCTGGTCTACATAGCAAGTTCTAGGCCAGCTATGGCTACAGAAGACCCAGTTTCAAACAGATACACAGAAAGAAAAAGAAAAAAGCAGGTACTTACATCTTCAGGTAGAGACTTTACCAATTCACTATGAGCCATCGGTTTGATGCTCAACTGATGGATAATCTCCCGTTTAATTTCATCTGTAGCACTGACCTGTCCAACCCCAGGATTGAATCTTTCTCCTGTCAAAAATGAAAAGGTGAATATACTCGTTGTGCATGATTTCAATACGTATGTGACACATACTACTAGTTCATGAACATAATAGACTCCTCTGTTTGAGGAGGACAAAAGCTTGGCAGGGGACAAAAGCGGGAGCAGTTCCTGGCACCACTCAAACCCTGGCTTTAGGCTCAGGTGGCTGTTTTGAAGGACGATGGGTGGGATGGAATTAGACGTGGTCAAGGCAAGCCTTTCACTCCATCCTCCTGTGGGAGCCAAGGAGGGAGAACCTTCCTCTTCCCTTCTGCCCGGTGGCAGGCAAGGCACCACCTGGAGACCCTCGTCACTGATGCTACTCCTGTCAGTTTGTATTTGCTGCTTTAAGACGACAGAAGGTGTCAAACAGCAGGGCAGGTGACAGAGCAGAAGCGATGAAAGAAGAGGGAAAATAGGGGCAGAGAAAGGACTGGAAACGTGTAATAAGAAACTCACATCTATGAGCCATAGGCCTTCATTAACTCAGAACTGTTACATCTGCAGACAAGAAGACATACAGCAACACCCATGGAGCAAAGTAACAAAGCTAAGGTTTAAAGTAACAGCAACTCTTTCCTTGCTAAATTCTCCTCTTCCCCCTTCCCAAAACATAGTCTTCCAGTTTATTCTGCTTCAGCGGTTGCATCCTTTCCTCTTCCCAAAGCACCAGAGATCTGCTGTTCTTAACCGGACGGAGCCAGAGGGGAAGGTAGGGGAGGGCTGTGTGTGCTCCAATTCCCTTCTAAAACCAAGGACCAGCCTTCTCATAGCACACCCAGTTCAGGAATCCCCAACAGTCTCCTATCACAAAGTCCGACACTATAACTGTGACACGTGTGCACTCACCAACCAGCATGATGATGAGGGACAGCATCTCTTCTATCAGGGTGTTGTTCTGCTGAGCAGCATCCTGCAGGTGGTGATAGGAAACTCCACGGTAAGAACAGAGCTCACTGTGGTCTCAGGAGAGGACACATTCAAACAGGGAAGCGGCTTCTTCAGTGGGGCCTGGGGTCTCGTGACACAGGTTCTTACCTTGTGGGTAACCTCAGAACTGAATCTTTTCCCATAGTCGGGTGTGCTGAAGATCTGATAGAGCTCAAAGCGGCTGAGCATTATCATCAGAAAATGGTTTGGATCCATCATGGAGACACCTGTCTTTTTTTGTTTGTTTGTTTAAGATAAAGGAAAAGAGGAAGGTCAAAAGGGAAGAGGAAGGTCAAAAGGGATGTTCAACATTAGTGAGAGGCATTTTGGTTTGCATAAGACAAAATAGCTTACGTGCTCACAATTCCAATAAAAGATGGAAGCTGTTAGGCATCCATCCCTATCTGGTATGCTTGACAATTCGGAGTGGGAACCAAGCTGGTGAAATAACACAGTAACGCTCCCACTTAAGACCTGGGCCCACACAATAACATGGAAGTTATTCAAGCCTTTTTCCCTTTCAGGGCTTTGAAGAAATAGCTATGAATATGGTTTCAAAGTTTTCCACCAGGACTCCATGCCTGGTAGGGACCAAAAGAAATGCCAATTAAACTTCTAGTATTATAAATACATAGATTTTCAAGATCTTGTGGCAAGCACTATTATTATATAAAATGATTTTTTAAAAAAAATTTATTATTTTTATTTTATGTGTATGCGTGTATTGCCTGCATGTAGGTAAGTGCATCTGTGTTGTGCAATGCCCGCAGAGATCAGAAGAGGCTGTTGGATCCCCTGGGACTGGAGTTACAGACAGTTAGCTGCCACGTGGGTGCTGGGATTCAAACCCGGGTCTTCTGCAAGAACAGTCAGTGTTCTTAACTGCTGAGCCATCTCTCCAGCCCCCAAATGATAATTTTTATATTAGTTTTAATTCTTCTTTAATGACATTTGTAAAAATTCTAAAACTGGATATTTACTCTGAACTAAGGTTTTCTTATTAAAAAAAAAAAAAACAGATTCATCCAGCAATAACATGGAATAACTGTGTGCTAAGCACTGCACTAGGCAAAACGGACAAAAGAGACAAGACACAATGGCACAGCTTGAGGTGGGTGAGGCAGGCAACTAGACACTTGTAATCCAGAGTCCTGGGTTCTGAGGCAGAGAAGCGTTAGGGTCCTCACAAAGGACCTCAGTGAGGGTCTAGCATTCCAGAGGGTTTGTGGAGAAATTGATACTGCACACTAAGACCCACTGGAAGTAGCTAAGCTAGGTCAAAGTGGAAGAATCTAGGAAGAGATAAATGTGCGGCATGCCAGACTCAAGAGACACAACAGTAACTTCAACATTGTTAAGTATCACAGGACTCAAAAATTAATTCCAGGGGTTTAAACTAAGGGACTTAAAATTGGGTTAAAAAACAACGGAGAGGATGGCCTTTCAGGTTTCTGATTTTAGAAACTGGGCAGATCCGTTAAGGCAGGGAGCTTGACAGGCAGAAGCTTATGGAGGAAGCAGCTGTTTTGGGCATGCTGAACTTGAGATGTGTTCTGGAAATCAAGTAGAAACGCTGCGCAGGCTGTGGGCGGTGGGTGGGGTTGTGTTAGTGGACAGGGCCAGGCAGGAGTCCGAGCAGGGAGTGAGTGTAAATGACTGGGTTCAGTGGAAACAAGACCAGGACTTCCCATGACCTTGAAGTCAAGGCTTTTAACTCATTACCTGAAGCATCACTATGTCCTTGTCAAACATCTCACGTCTGCATTTCACATTATGGTAGTAATAAATCTAAAAACAGCAATGAATTATATTAGGTTAATGGGCTTAAAATAGGTACAGCTCCTGGATCCCTCCTCACAGCCCTATGTGTATATGATGTGAGTTCTTAGATAGCACTTAGCACAGATGAATGAATTAAAAATTTCCATTAATGGTCACTGCATGGTTTACAGCTGTCAATTTTCTAGGTCTTCGAACAAAATAAAAGACCATAATGGACTGGGTGCGGTGGCACCCCCCTTTAATCCTAGCACTCCCAAGGCAGAGAAAGGTGATCACTGGGAGAGCAAAGCCAGCCTGGGACAATCTACATGTTGGGTTCCAGGCTGGCTGGGGCTACATGGTAAGATCCTGTCTCAAAAAATAAAACCAACCCAAACACACAAAAAAAAATCACTAGAGATTGGGGTGTACAGTATCTATCCATAGTGAAGACTGAAATACTAAAACCTCAACTTTGGCAAGATGGGTCAGAGGGTACAAGTGCTTGCTGTGAAGTCTGATGACCTGAGTTTGATTCTTGGAGGCCACACAAAGATGGAAGGAGGGAACCAACTATACAAAGTTGTCTTTGGACCTTCACACATGCCCTCCCCATCATACCCAACCCTAAAGAAACAAAAAAAATCCCTCAAAAGGGATTTTTATTTATTTTTATTTTTTTGATTAATTTTTATGTGTATGAGTGTTACACCTGCATGTATGTAAGTGCATCCATGTTGTGCAGTGCCCACAGAGGACATCGGATTTCTCCAGAACTGGAGTTAGAGACAGTTGTCAGCTGCCATGTGGGTGCTAGGATTTGAACTTGGGTCTTCTGCAAGAACAGCCAGTGCTCTTAACCACTGAGCCATCTCTCCAGTTCCAGATTTTTATCTTTTAATACCTCCTCACCAACTTTTTTTTTGAGGCAGGGTCTAATGCTATAGGCAGGCTGGCCTCAGACTCATGGCAATCCTTCTGCCTCAGCCTCCTGAGTGCTGGGAATACAAGCATGAGCCATCACATGTATATTTAAAAATTAATTACTACTTTGGAGACAAGGTCTCATTCTGTAGCCCTGGCTTGGCACTAGGGTGGCATCAGACTCCCTGAACTCTGCCTCTGCCATCCTGCCCAGCCTTTTAAAAATTTTATTTAATTAATTAATTTAGTTATTATTTATTTATTTTTTATGTGTATGCATGTATTGACTGCATGTATGTAAATGTACCCATGTCATGCAATGCCCATGGAAGTCAGAAGAGGCTGTCAGATCCCCTGGAACTGGAGTTATTGGA